GGAGTGTCTATGCCTAATTTCTAAAGTTTTTTGTATTCGTAGCATTTCTTATTATCAATTAGTTCACATATGTATATATATATATATATGTATGTATATTAGAAGGTTGAGAGCATACTACATGTCTATATCATTGGTGATAGTAAAGAGTGTATTGAATATGATGTTGCAGTGGTTTTTTGGGGACAAATATTACGTGTCCAATTTAGATTAAGAAAGGTGTGTGCTTTATATAATAGAATATAAATCCATATACATACATCATTTCTCCCTTATTGTCCATTTGTTTTAGTAGAAATTGAATTTCTACACCCAAAAAAATGTTGTTAGAATATTTTATGTAGAGTTTTTTTTTTTTTTTACATTTATTTGTAATTTCAAAATTAATATACTAATGGTTATATTCGTGATGAGTTTTTTTTTTTTTTTTTACGAATATTAGTGATGAGATTGGTGTGGTGATGGGCAACAGTTGGGTGATAGTAATAGTAGCTCAACTACAAAGAAAAACATTTTGAGTGTATTTTTATTTTCAATTGTACTAAAACACATGGCTTATTTTTAATTTTTTTTTATTTATTACGAAAAAACGTAGAACAAAATAGAAAAGTAACGTAACAAAAATAAGTTAATAAGCCAATAAACAACTTATTTGTGAGGTACCCAAACTCAACCTAAGTGAAGCATTAGTTACATTTATGGAACCCTATAAGCTGGCACATCACATTGCATCACACCTCATTCTTCACTGGATGCATGATTTTCAGAGTTGGACATTGATTTCTTTATACTGGTTCCTTTATTGTACCACATCAGGAGACCTGCAAAATTGCTTGCATTTAAAGCTTTGTTCCCATTTATTTCATCTTATTTCATAGCGATCTTAACACCAATTCAATCTACGCGACGAATTTAAGAAACTTTTCTGAATCCATAGTGTTAATGTACACTAAACCTAACCCACTAACCTAACCCACTACATCCACCCCACTAAACCTAACACACTTACCATCTCCACTACCACCCACCACCTCCACTACCATCTACTACCACCACTCACTTACTTCACACCTCTCCTATATAATAGCTTGTAACATACAAATCAATATACAACAATCTTGTAATATACAAAATCAATCAATTAATAATACATCTATTTCTTACACATAGAATTACTGGTTCAGTAATGGTCTTTTGCTCCAATGGTATATCAACTATCAGACAATGCAGCACTTTCATATAGCCTATTCCTTTTGTTGAGGTGCTTTATTTTCTTGGAAAGAAATACATATCAATGTAAAGTTTACAAAATATTTACATATTAATGAAAAAAGTTCATAAATTTAATTATGATCACTTATATAGTTTTTCATTAATTTGAAATTTGTTTTGAAAAACTGCGCTGATGTGTAGTTTTTCCTATTTTCTTCCATCACAGTGAGAAGAAAAAAACCCAGTAACTATATCTATATGTCTATCGATCTATACTATGGCTTATTTTGGTAAGTGGATAAAAAGCCACTTTTTAGATTTTAACGTATTTTGGATCATATTGTCACTCTATTTTTTTTACACGTTTTTTTCAAAAAAAAAAAGTCGAAAAGTTAATTTTTAACCAATTTTTCAACTAACCATTATATATGAAGTAAGTCAGGAAATGGTGTTGACACAAAATATCACAGATTTTGATTTTTGAAAATATCCTTTTAGGTTAGTTAAAATAAAAAATTATATAGAAAGAAAATTGTGACTTCAAAAAAAAAAAAAAAAACAAAATTCAAGAAAAATAAATAAATAAATCATTCAACAAAATTCAATTCCTATATCATGCATATATGAGTTTTGGTGCCAACATGGGTGCTGTCCACGTATTTTTATTCCGTCATTGCTCTTCAATCAACCCATTGAGACCAATCAATGATTTTTTTTTTGATCAGCAAAGAAAAATTTCATTTAACAGTATGAAATTAAAAGTACAGGAAGATAAGATGCATTGAGAGAGATTCGGAAGTATAAAAATACCCCTACTACTGCTACTTGCATCCATACAACCAACCGCTAAGCCTCTCAAATTTTTAAATAAAAATGTTAAAAAGAACTTAACTAGATAATTAAAATACATGAATCCCCACATAATAACCCACAAAGACACCCAAAACAAACTAAAAAACTAAACAAGACCCATGGCACTGCTGCAAAATAAACTAAAATACAAGAACTAAACTAAAGACACCCATGCAGCCCGAAACCAACCACGCCTCTGCCAAGACCACGTCACTGCTGCTACAAACTCCCCATGCCTCACGCCTGCACCTGATTACAACCCCACAAGACCCACTCCTATGGTAACACCCTATGCACACGCCACCTCTGTTGTAGCCCACACTACCTACGCCTCTGCTGCAGCCTACACCACCCAATCAAAGATGCCAATCATGCAATGTTTGTCATTGCCAATTTTTTATTTTTTATTTTTTTTAAATAACAACTGCTATAAAAAAAATTTCATCCTTTTTATAAGGTAAGATATCATTTACGTTCATTAATTTTTTGATACTTATTTTTAAATAAATCATAAATATTTATATAAATGATAATACAAAATTGTGACAAAAATTAGTGATGTATATTATATTTTTCTTTGTCAATTTTTAGCTTCCCTTTAGCTCATATCATGACGAAGAAGAAAGTTCTTCATATAACACCTGATATGATATACCGGGCCTCTCAAATACATGTCGGATCAATAGGTCACTCAAATACTGATTACACAAAATACCTCATCATATGAGAAAAAAAGACATTGAAATTGGAAAGAAATAACATTCGGGCTACTTGTTAGAAGACAAACAATGCTTTAAGAAAAAATGTATACACTACCAAGTACTAAATAAAGAGAAGAAATTGGACTCAACAAAATAATAAGACCCACCTCTTTTCTTAGTTGGGTACATGGTTTTGTGCACCAATTCGGTGTAGAGCTTTCATGCTTCAATGATGGGAGTGAATGTGAATGTGAATGGTGCATGGTTGTTACTAGTTGTGTTGTGGCAGACAATGAATCACAGCCGTCAATTAGGTATTGTACCTAAAGAACAAGGTGGGCCTGAAAGAGGTCCATGTGATGGGGTAGATAGAAGGTCGAGAGCAACAGATCTGTTGGATCAACAATATGCTACTTTTAACAAGTTCTTATCACGTGGTTTAGGGCCCTTTATATGCACAATCTGAGGCCTAACCTTTACACCACTAACATCACTTTAAAATGGTTATATGGAAGGAAAGAAAAAAAAAAAATAAAAAAAGGCTTTGCGGTGAGATAAATTACTTTTTTTAAGATGATATTTGTCGCTACTCACTGACTTTGTTAATAGGTTTGTAGCAAATATCTCCAAAATACAACAAAGCCTAAAATTCTACTGATAGTAATACTAGAGAATTTTTAGAATCACTCTATGAAAAAATCAAAACCGAAATATAAACAGAAAAGGGGAGACAATGAGATGTGAGAAAGAATAAGAGGTGATTGAAATTCACAAGAGAATCTTATTCTTTTTTACACTAAGGTGTTATTTGATTAAAATAGTCAATAAAAACAAATATATATATATATATATATATATTCAACAAAATAACATGTCATATCGTACATATCAATTATTGATTTTTTCTTTGACAACCATGTATTTAACTACAAAATAAAAAATAAAAAATACAAATACAAATCATCTCAAATACAACTTTTTTCAAAAAAAAAAAATACAAATACAAATACAAATCATCTCAAATACAATTTTTTTCATCTTATAAAATAGTCAAAAAAGAAAAAAAAAAATACTAAAATAGCCAAATTTTCAAGCAGGCACTAAATTACTATTATTTGTTAACAAACACACTTATAGTTAATAGTTATGTTTTTAGCAGACATGTCTTGTTTTTTTCACTTTCTCTTTTCTTTTCTTTTTCTTTTCTTTTCTTTTTTTATTTTTTTTTATATTTTTTGGTCTTTTTCTTGTGCTCAAAACACCTGCTAGCAAGATACTTGCGTGTGTATATATATATAAACATTTATATGTATATCTATGGACCTATGTATACACATGTACTCTGTGCTCGTATGACTCTTTTTGTTTCCAAAGATTTCAATGTTAAAAACACCATGATATATGTCATCTTGTGTCAAAATAGAATAAGATACCTCGAATCAACAGTGAAAATTACAAAAATATTATATTTACATATCTATATATATATATATATTACCGTTGACATGAATTTGAAAGTCTTTATGACATTGGAAATTAAATGATATAAGAGTAAAATTCAAACTCAAACATCACACCGTGTTAAATTACAAAAGGATTACAAGGCTTATATTAGTATTTGTATGTATAATATACACAAATGCATTGAAGTGTACAATATTTATTAGAGAGATAACAGAGGAAAACAGAGGAGACATTGGCGCGTGTTGGGGGCAGAGTTACTAAAAGGGGACATCGGTAGGAGGGATAGAAAAGAATGGAAGCTTTTTTTGAGGAAGCTTCTGTGCTTGCAAAGTTGCACTTTCTGTTGACCAAGACCAAACAATGCCAATTTCCATTCCATTCGTCCTGCAGATTATTTTACAAGGCTGTGAAGCATGGGAAAATTATAGGCTATTTCCAAAATGCCACGTGTTCGTACCCTTAATCAATCATAATTTTATTCTGTACTCTCATATTCTTCAATCACCTAACACAATACCTCCCCTATCCACCTTCTCCACCAATCACAATACTAAAGAATACTTATGTGTCTATATTTCAAAATTAATAAATAATTACCCGCGAAGCATGTTGTTCCAATCAAGCTGTGAATGAAATATTTTAACACAAATAAGTAGTTTGCTACAGAACTCAAAAAGATTACAGTGTTGTCACATTCTTGTGGGCCGACCATAATTCAATTCGTTTAAAAACTAAATTGTTTTTTAATATGTATAGATCATTTCTGGGAAAAAACAAAACAGACTAGTCATTTTATTAGCTGCACATTAAACACACAAAACATAATGCAACAAAATGCCACTACCTACTACTATATATTTCATTATCTACCATTGCCCTCTGGTCTTCAGTAACTGGAAAACAATCACAAACCCTTTCCAAGAATTGAAGTGAATCATTCATGTTCCATAATTTGCCACATATTCACAGAAGAACTTGTACGGTGAAGAAAGAATCAGGGATTTTCATTAGCCATTGTCATGTGCCTTCTGAGTCAGCTGATATCTACAAAATAATCACAGGGCCTTTCAAGAGTTTCATTTCTTATATTTTTTTTTTTAATTTTTTACAGACCTATAGGCTTCTTTGTCATTCATCACATCATCACTGAACTTCAGCTTTACAAACTTCATACTCGCCTGTGATTCCACATCAGTAGTACCCTGAACGAGGTGGGACATATCCTCCAGGAGGTGGCATATCAACAGGAAGATTTCCATATGGAGGCCTTGGGACTGGACTTCCATAAGGTGAACCTGAAAAACACATATAGCAATTCCCCCAATAACTTCAAGTTATATGTATTAACCAACAAAGCAGAACATAATATAGTCAGATAGGGAAAATGAAAATTCGTACTTGCGTATCATTCTTGTGAAAACAATTATCATTCATAAACCTGATATTTAAATGACAGTTTTGGCTAAACAATCTATGCATCAAGATTCTTTTATACTTCCATGTTTGTTCTATATAAGCAGGGAACAAAGCAAAAAGAGTGTCCTCCACAAAACCAGATTAGAAAACATAAAGAACAGGTGTCATAGACACAAATAATGAGTTACAACACATACCATATGTGGTGAAAGGACTGGGCTGAAATGTCGATTGTCTTGAAGCTTGCAGATCAACGTGGGAACCTTCTGGCCCTGGGAAACCAGCATGTTCACCGTAAGTGCTGTAAGGCATCGCATAGGGTTCAAACACGCCACTTTGGTAAGGGCCAGTTGCACCACCAGACATGAAATTCATGCATTCAACATTTGGATGGCTGTAGGGTCCACCCACACTATAAGTTCGGTGAGGGTCAGTAGCACGACCAGGATTGACAATTCTGCTTTCAATGTCATTTCTCCTTGAGTGATCAAACCCACCACCATAACTCCCATATGGATCATTCAGCACAGGGGGAGTTTGCTTGCCTTGATGAGCTACAGGAAATGAATCCATTCTTCCAGGATTTGCAGAGTTCACCTGTAACATTCAACTCATCAACTTCCAACTGCTAAAAACTAAAAATTAATCGGTACAAGTGAAAACAAGAATCAAAGCAGTTATTCTTTTTCAAACCAATCATACTACTACTAATAGAAAATATTGAATGAAAATACTTGATCATTTAAATCAATGAAGTTGCAGCAGAAGACTTACTGAACATCTCCAAGTAGCAAAGCATTATCCATGAGAAGTTAAGATTAACTTTAGCTTGAACCAGACTTGATTACAAATTCACAAATGTAGGAAATGGACAATTTTCACTTACTTGACCAGGCATTTGGTAATGATAATTCAATTGAGGCTGAGGTGGATAAGAACTTTCCCAGTGTCCGCTGCCGACTGAGCCACGAGGGAAATATCCTAAGAAATATAATAAATTAGTAGATGCCAGTTGTAAATTCTATACTCATAATGGGGCTTACAGAAGGGAGACCAAAGAAAAAACAAACAAACAGACAAAAACCTGAAACAGTTTCTTGATTTTGCACTTGAGAGCTGTTATATGACTGGAGAGAACTTTCTTGAGAATAAGGTGAAACACTCTTTGGGTTCACATTTGCATTAGATGCTAGGGCACACTTCATCTCGTCCAAATATCTCTGTGACTCTCCTCTGCCAAGTTCAGTAAAGATGACCTACCCATAGATCATAGCATTAGCCACATTTTCAACAAAAAGCATACAAAGAAGATTCCTGTTCTTGGAAATTACCTGATCAAAATACTCATCTGCTCTAGGCATGTCCTTGCTCATAGGCAAAGCATAATTGGCTGCCAAAGAAAAATTGCAGATCACATTCATAAGGTAACAAATTAGTTTGAGAACTAGGTTAAATTGGAGAAATAGAAGCCAAAACATCAGCAAGATACCTAACATTTCATTCACTGCATCAGCTGGAACCTCCTTTCCCATTTCTTTGTATCTTTTATCAGCACGAGACTTGAGCTCTTCTGGTTTTGGGAAAACCACGACAGCAATCTGAATTGGGTGCACAGTACCATATAGGTCAAAATATTTGACACAATAAAAAGCTTTACAAGAAATGGAACCTCCAGAATCAATCACCAGCATTTGATCTTCATCACGATCATAAAGAATGACATTATGAAGCTACCTTTTGATAGTCTGCAAATGGCTTCAGTTTACGTTTTCGAGCACTCTTGTACACATTTGTTTGATCAAGAATGTAATTACGCGGAGTCTTAGCAGCCCTTGTTAGTAGGGTATTAAATATCCCAGTTGCACGGTCCATCAGTCGATCAAATCTTTCACCATAATTACTCTTGCGCAGCAGTCCAGGCACCTATAAGAAGGTCAAACTTTTGTCAAGTAAATCAACAGTGGAGAACATCATTGTTTGACAAACCTGTTTCTGAAAAGCAGAAAAACAAGAATAAGTCACCAAAAGCAAAGAAATAAAAAAACTGAAACCTTCATTTGGTCCAGAGCTAGGTTTGTTCCAAGCAAAATATATCTCTTTTCAGGGTGCTCCTTTACCCACTTCTCAGCCCAAGTAGACTTGCCAGAGGCAGGTAAACCCACCATCATCATCACTTCACAATCCCTTAGGTTAGGAAAAGTGGGTCCCATAATTGCATTTCCATCCATGAGAGCATAAGCCCAAGGTTTGTAGCCATCTTCAGGAACAAGTCCATCTTCAGGACTGAACTGCAACGCTACTACAACATTTTTCAATAAAACATGGATGGGGAAAGCGTGCTGATTCCCACTGTAGCTTTCTAATAGGAGAATCCACCACTCCAAGCCCATTCGAACCAGCATCAAAATGCTTTGCAATACCCAACCACTTCCCATTTTTTGAGAAACTTATGAAAGCCCACGGCTTGTTTTCTAGATTAACGGCACAAACAATTGTATCACCAACCCCAAATTTTTCACCATAATCTGGGAACTTTCGTGCATTGGAAAATTTTCCAGTGCCTCCAAACCCAAAGCTGTGCTCAGTCTCCCCAAGGTTTCCAACATTATCATCACCTCTTGAGATGCCTAGGCGGCACACATGCTGCTGATCAACGGGCGTATCTTCCATATCAACTGGCTGAGCTGAAATGATTTTGCAACCAAAACAATACATGCCCCCAGTAATTCCTACATTGGCACGAGCACCAGACCAGCAATACGCAAATCCCTTTTCATGAAGCGCAGAACCTTGCAGACCATTGCCTTCAATATTGAAATCTGGTGAAAGGATAATAATTTAAATTGATTATCAGTCATAAACAAAAATCATATTTCTATAAGTGTGGTTCATGTCAATACTAATGCTTGACTCAGAAATCAACACATCTCACAAATCACACTGTGGTTTCAAAGTTCTCCAAGGAGATACCATCAGTCAAAGAAGTTATTGAAAAAAGGTCACCAGTAAAATTAATGAAGCATTCACATACTATTTAAGGGGAAAGAGCATGCTCCCAACAATTAAAATTCAACATCATTAGGCAAATGGACTTGGTTGAACATTTCATAATGTGTGAGGAGACACATTTGAGAATGAAAAGGGTATTATCCACTATACAGAGAAAAGCAGTGGGTTGCTAGTTGCTCCACACTTATGGAAAGATGATTATGCAACAGCAAATTATAGGCATTTTCTGCAGCATGCAAGCTCATTGAATAGGATGATATTTTTGCTCGTTAGTTGTCCAATTTGGTCCATATGGCCCTGATTTCAATTTTGTGTGTGTGTGTGTGTGTGTGTGTGTGTGAGAGAGAGAGAGAGAGAGAGAGAGAGAGAGAGAGAGAGAAGGCAATCATGTTAGGAATTGATACACTGATCCAATATGTTGGTTAGGTCAGTGAGACGCGAAACACAAACAAGAACAAAACAAGAAACGAAAAATAAGTACACACGAACACAAAGATTTACGTGGTTCACACCTATCCTAGGGCTACGTCCACCTACGTTACACGGACTCGGGTACGGATATCGGGTGCAGGTACGTATCTAGGGGTCGGACACTTCAAAATTAAAAATTGAGGATATGTGAATATAGATCTAAATTTGGATACGGGTACAGAGATACGTTAAATAGTTATTTTTTAAATATATTTATTATATGAAGATGAGTTAAGATTTACTAAGGAATAACATATTTTGTTAAAAAATAAATAAAAAATAAAAAATAAATGAAAAACAAAAATTATTTTAAGCATAAAATAAATTATATTATATAGGATAAAAATAAATTATTTTTATTTTAGGCATAAAAATTATATTATTTATGATATACTATATTATATAATATAATATATTTTTTTGGTGAATGATATTATATAATATAAATTATATTAAAAGGAAGAGAGATAAAGAGAGAAGAGAAAACAATGATAGAAGACGAGAGAGAAAAGAATGCAGAAGAAGAAGGATACGAGAAGAAAGAGAGAGAGAGACCAAAGGGGAATTGAAGCCCTAGGGCCGTTTTATGGGTGGAATTGAACATCGAGAAGTTGGGTTTCAGATCTCCTTCGATTCAATCGAGTTCGCAACTAGGGTTCGCGTTTCGATCTTGCTTCGCGACTCGACTTTCTTTGCAAAGGTGAGTTTCAGCCCCCCCCCCCCTCTCTCTCTCTCTCCATCTTTGAGTTTCAGCCGTATCCATTTGTATCTAGCCGTATCCCGCATCCGTACCCGTGTCGTACCTCCCAAAAACCAGAGAGTCCGTGTAACATAGACATCCACAACTATCGAATCAAACCTAAAATTTAAGAATACGTGGACTCGGCAAAAAAGGATTGTATTTTTATATATTTAATCCATTATGTGAGATAAAATGATGTTATATAAGGCATTTTACTCAATTTATAGCAATTATACAATAATAAATATATATAATGATAGTGTTATATCTATACTATCTATACTATATTATAATGTCAGAACCTTATTTGGTGTGAACTAATTGTTGAAGTTCAGTAATGGCATTTTTCTCCCGAAAACTCACGCCATCTAATAACTAGCAACAGTTTTCCTAGGTTAACTGAAAGGTAAAAATAATTTCTTAATTCTGTTAATTTAAGAAGAAGCCACGTCTGGCAGATACCTTCTTACATTTTCAGCTGTCATTCCCAACATTCAACATCTAAAACAGATATGATGTGCCCCAGATTTTGGGTTTGCCTTTTGGTGAATGTCAGTCAAGTTTTCATATACCAACTCATTTGATGGTACTGTTTTCCAACACCCATCCTCAACCATAGGTATGGCATTTAAATCTGGACTTCCTTATATTTTGTCCTGTGTGTTTTCAATATTTTTATTTCAAGTTCTTTAAAAAGGAAATTTTATTTTCCTTCCCGATTTTGGAATTTATAGTTCTTTGTCTAAATTCAGGAATATTATTTGGTAGTCTTAGAACAAGTTCATGTGGTATCCCAATTTGATTTTTATTGATTAAAACATTAGAACTCAGCACTTTTGTGTTAGCTTTTAGAAGATAACAGGACAAGTGTTTATGTGAAGAACGGTGTGGAGTATTTAGCTCCAAGATCACCATAACATTTCCTAAATTCATAATGGAAACTGTTGTGACTGTTATGGTGGAAGAGCATCCTATGTAATCAAATCTAGACTTCCTTTCTTCTAGGTGACTCTTTTTTTAGCCTATTAAGAATTTTGTTATTTATGCATTTACAGGGTCATTTGTGAACCATTTATAATGGAGGATTCTCAGGGATTGAAGGACTTAAGTCATCATTAAGATAAAAATCAAGCAAAACCAAGTAAGTAAATAACTACAATACAATCTATGTCATTTGTGAACCATTATAACAGAAATTGGTATATATGTTTAATGTCCATGTAACATAGATTGTCAAAAACAACAACATAGAAGCAGAACAATCCACAGCATATTATGAACTATAACGCAGTTAGGGTTAATAATCAAAACTAAAGAATGCATTTAATAAAATTCTTCACACAATCAAAACTCTCAAGCCACTCAATCCACTAAACACAAGACACACAAACATATCAGCCTATATATATATATATATTTGTGAGAGTCTCAGTATACAAATGCACAAGAAATGGCGAAGAAACAAGAGCGAAAATGGATTAATTGAAGAAGTTAGGGTTTGAAAATGCAAGAAATGAAATTCAAAGAACAAGAAAGGATTCAAGAAACCTAAATCGCAATCGGCAGGGTTGAGTAGCACTCGTTGATGGGGTTTGGGTGGGTCGGAGGACTCTGCTTCAACCAACTTTGCCTTCTTGGCTACAACAGGTTCGTCTGATGAGTCAGGTCTCGGTAATTCGCGTTTCGTCGACTCCATTCACGGATCTTTGCAGATTGAGAGAGAGAGAGAGAGAGAGAGGGTGATTGATATTACGAGGGCTACGCTTTTATAGAAGAGGTAGAGTTTAGCGTAACCGACTTTGGGAAAGCATCAAAATACACCCGCCTTAATTCTATCTACACGCTTAATTTGGGATGGGGATGGGGATTGGGATTTTTGTTTTCTGACTTAGGCATTGGAGAGGTTTTTTTTTTTTTTTTTGGCTCTTTAGCTATTTTAAGTCTCATTTGACATGTAATATTTTTAGTTTAAAAGTCAAAAATTATTAAAAAAATTAAAAAATCTATAACTTATACTAAAAAATTAAAAATTTTCTTTTCTCTGTACTTTTTACATATTTTTTTGTAAAAAATCATTTAAACATACTAGTTTTTTATCTCATATTTTAGTCAAAAAATTAAAAAGTTATTAAAATAATTTGTTGTCAAACGAGACAAGTCTGAGGCTATAAAATCTCGTTTGATATAGGTTTTTAACTTTTATGAGAGAAAAAATGAAATGAAATAATTACGATTTAGATGTGATATTTTATTTTATTAAACTAAAAAACTAATTTTGTCTTTTTATGACTATTTTAATAAAAAAAAAACTCAAAAACCTCATATGTCAAGAAGGCTAACTTAAAACTAACCTGCAGCAATTTGATAAGGCTTTGAGGCCTAAACCTTGACATTTCAAGCATCAGTCTCTCTAGAACCAGTTATCTCGGATGACAACATATATGGCTAGTAGAATGAATCTTTCAGGCCTGCGTGAACCATACCAAGTGTCCTTCTAGACCTGGACGAACTGTACCGTGTTATTTAGTATCACCTGAAGGTGGCTTCTAAAGTTTCGACCCCTTAAGTCTGTCTAAAGTTATGAGAGAAAAGAAAAAAAAAAATTTTAAAAAATGTAATTTTTCTCTCCCTTTTGAATAAATAGAACAGAACAAATATTAACTTTGTTTCAATTTTGAATCTCAAATTTTGAGTTTTTAATTTGTATTTTTTATTTTTAGAGATTTTTTATTTTAAATATTATGATCAATTTTCTTATTGTTTAGATGCATCTAATTTAGATGTGGTTAAAAATTAAAATTATTTGTGAAAAAATATTTGCAAAATTCAATAAATGAAAAAAGAAAAAAAAAAGTGAAAATATTTGCGAAGGAATCTTTGAAAATGCAGGAACATGGGGAACGAAATTGCAAAGTACAAACCTAAAGAGAAGAAGCTATGGATTTCGCTCGGGTTTTGTTGCTTAAGAATTTTGCTACAATTGAGAAAAAGGGTCACAAATATAACTCATTGGTTGTTGGTATTATGTAGTCAATTATATGTAAATCTATGGTATTTTTGGGTTAAAAAAGCAATATTGTTCTACTGTACAATGCGAGTCACAAAAAGTCACCCAAAAAAATCAAACTAAAAAAAAAAAATCACACTAGCAAATCACAATAAGACTTTGCATTCAATAAAGAAGCAACATTCCACTTCGCATTGCCCATTAACGTATCACAAGACTGCAATGCATCAGAATAATTTTTTTGATATTACATTTTGTTTGATTTGATTTTTTAATTTTTTTGTGATGCAAAGTTACTAATTAATTTTTTGTAAATTTTTCTAATGTGTCATTTTTAATTCATAAATTGGGAGACTTCTATAGAGCATCTCCACATTCTCCTTTCATTTTATTTATTTATTTATTTATTTTTTTATGTGAGATTCTATTAATTTTTATAAAATTGAAAACTGAGAGGGTAATTTTTGGAAAAAATTAGGCCGAGCTATAAGTTGGGCTTTGTGGCCCAAAGTACGAAGGACTGAGTAAAAAGGCCGTAATGATTACTCTGGCCCAATAAAAATGTAAGAGTTTACTCCGGCCCAGGAGAGGCAAGGTTACACCGGCCTAGGAAAGACAAAGTTACTCCGGCCAGGGAGGTAAAGTTACTTCGGCTCAGGGACTGTAAAGATACTTCGGTCCAGAACGATTTGGAGTTATGCCGGTCTTGGAGTTATGCCGGTCTTGGAGTCATACCGGCCGAAAATCATTGGTTCGGTCTAAGCCCGTACCATGGGTTCTACACGGAAAGCCGAGATAAGAAAGGGTAAACGTAAGAACCGAACTAAGAATAGTTCGGCCTACTCAATGGCTCTGCATAGCTAAGCTTATTTCGGTCATATCGTAGTTCGGCCAAAGTAAAAATCATCCCACTTGGTTTAAGCAGTGGGGGGTGTAAAAGGATAAGCATTATCCTTAGGAGTATGAATCCTAGGAGGACTCTGCATGGAGGAATAGAAGTCCTACTAGGATTGTGCCATTCGAAACATATAAAAGCTCACAAACATCACCTTGGTGGAGGTAACAGAACACAACACAATTTTGCTTTCTGAGAACATAGAGCTTTGTCTGTTTGTCAAGTTTTCTGACTTAGGCATTGGAGAGGTTTCCGGCACACGCCTGCCGGCTAGCTCACATTTGTGTTTTCAGGTGATAAAGCGACGTCGTACAGAGGAGCGTGGACTCGGTAAACAGGATTATACGAGGAGAATTATTTCTTCCCCGTACAATCGGCGCCGTCTGTGGGAAAAACTGAGAGAACAAAACCTCTTGACTAAGCTTCTCCCTTTCTCATTCAATGGCACACAATGAAGACTTGCCGCAGTCCGCCGTCGACGGACTAACTCCAGAAGGGGGCGCAAGGCGTGAAGGATTACCTTCTGTCCCTCCCATGGCGGACTTGGAGCCCCAAAGACATACCTCCAGGAGGGATGCTAGGGGGAGACGGACTCACAGCCCCCATCGCTCTCATTTACAAAGTCCAGACAGGCAAAGACGGAGGATTGACCCTCAGGTTCTGGAAGACCGCGTAAAAGAACAAGATGAATTAATAAGAAAGATAGCGGCAGACATGGAGGCCTTGAAACGCCAGATGAAGAAAAAAGAAGTGGCGACAGGAGAGGGGCGCAAAAACAAGACGCCCCCTCGCCACTCAGAAAATCGTAGTAGGAATACTACACCCTCGCAAGGAGAGAGCAGAAGCCTCAGGACAGGCGACACTCAATCCTTCTCTTCCAGAACTCGTCACTCCAGGTCTGAGAGGATGAGATCTGAGAGATCATATACTGAAGGAAGCACGTATTGGCCCTCGCACTCGCACCAAACCAGATCTAGACAGACAGAATTACCCAGATCATCCGACTTACGAACCGTGCTCGAAGAGAAAGCACGATACAAGGAGGATGCCAAGGCAAGGGATCCACACAGAGTTTCTGCCTTACAGCGGTTGGCTCCTCGGACGCATGGAAGCGTCGAGGTTGGAATGCCAATACCGCGACCAGCCTACGAACCAACGGACAAAGCATTAGCAAGGCTGCACACTTCGCCGTTTGTTCCGGCGATGGCTGAGGTGACACCAAAGTGTCAGCCGAGGTGTCACGTGTCTTGGTCATGACACCAAATTGTGGGTGTCAATTTCCGACCACACTACCAATCAAGCACTCAGCTGGAGAACACTGGCAGAATAGATTAAACCCGAATGACCTGTCAACAAAAAGAAGAGATTCCGGCAGTGGTTCGTCCACCCGGGAGCACTCCGACGATCAAGTCAATTATCTCTTAAAGATAGCAACGAAAAACTTCCAGAGGGCAGCATAGCCTCCTGGGCCCAGTTGGCAGAAGCGTTCGTAACAAGGTTTCGGACAAATACTAAAACACCGGTGGAGATAGACCAGTTACTCTCCATCGACATTGGTGAAAAAGAGACCCTCAGATCTTACAACAGTCGCTACTGGGAAACATTCAACCAGATTGGAGATTGCCCCACCAATCTGGCCATTGCGCAGTATAAAAGAGGCCTACCAGTAGGGAATCGACTAAGGGATTCGATTACAATGACGCCACCCCTCACCATGGAGGCCCTGATGGAAAGAGTGCACCAGCACATCAGGGTAGAGGAGGACGGCGCACGTGCCAAAGCAAAATCTAGCGCGACTACAGTGTCAGAAAAGAAGACCTCGGCAAAGGTCAATACGGTAGACCGAAGTAACAGAAACGGACGTGGCAAACGAGATAACGGAGAAGACCCTGATAAAAGATGGTTGAGAATCCGCACCGCCATAACAACGGTGTTCAAAAAACCGATATATCGAATTCTGAGCGAAATAAAAGATGAACCTTTCGTCAAGTGGCCAGCCAAGCTAGGAGAAGCTCAGAAAGACTACGATGACAGATCACGGTGCACCTTCCACAAAGAAAAGGGGCACCGAACTGAGAATTGCACGCCGTTAAGACAGCATTTGGAAGAATTGGTAGCAGCTGGTCACTTTGACAAATATATTGAAGGAGGGACACAACCAGCCCCCCAGGATCACAATAACCCCAACGGAATGCCAATTGACGCCCCACCTCAAGGCATTATCAATGTAATACATGGAGTCTTCGAACCTGAGCGTGTATGCGAGCTCAGGGGATCAATCAAAAAGGCTGAGCACTTTAGAGAGGTACTAAGTGCCCAACCCGCCATCAAGAAGGGAAAGACAGAGGCAACAAATGTTATGTCCTTTTCGGATAAGGACTTGGATTGAATATATTGTCCTCACAATGATGCTCTGGTCGTTACTCTCCGAGTCAAGGATTTTGACGTCAAGCGGATTCTGATTGACCAGGGTAGTTCATGTGAGATCATGCACTACGACACATTTAAACAACTGAAGCTGCAAGACAAAGACTTGGCGCCTGCAGTTTCTCCCCTGATTGGATTCAACTCCATGCCAGAGTGGCCCGTCGGCAAAATAATCCTTCCAGTCAGAGCAGGAAGCTTTGTCCAGCGCTGAGAGATTAGAGGTCATGGAATTCTTGACTTCCAATATCGAAGTGTTTGCCTGGACACCTTACGACATGCCAGGCATTGATCCAAACTTCATCAGTCACCAACTCAATGTCCACCCATCCGCCAGACCAGTCATTCAACGCACGCGCAGATCGGCACTCCACCACGCTGAAATAGTGGCAGAAGAGGTAGGCAACCTGCTGGAGGCAGGAGCGATAAGGGAAGTGCACTACCCAAAATGGATC